GCCACAAAAAAAAAAAAAAAAAAAAATTCCCAAAAAATCCAAAAAATTCCCAAAAATTCCCAAAATTCCCAAAATTCCCACCCCGGGAGGGGGCGGGGCCGGGGGGCGGGGCCGAGGCCGAGGCCACGCCCCCTTTTCCCGCCAAAAACGGGGGGGAGGGGCCTGGAGAGGGGAAAGGGGGCATGGCTTGGAAAGGGCGGGAAAAGGAAAAGGGGGCGGAGCCAAAAATCTCACCTGGAAAAGAGAGAAGGGAGAGGGGTTAGAGGGGAACTGGTTTAGACTGGTTTATACTGGCTTATACTGGTTTGGACTGGTTTGGATTGGTTTATACTGGTCTATACTGGTTTATACTGGTGTATACTGGTTTAGACTGGTCTGAACTGGTCCATACTGGCCTATACTGGTTTATACTGGCCTATACTGGTTAGGACCGGTCTATACTGGTCCATACTGGCTTATACTGGTCTGAACTGGTTTATACTGGTTTATACTGGTTTATACTGGTCCATACTGGTTTGTACTGGTCTATATTGGTTCATACTGGTCTATACTAGTTTGGACTGGTTTATACTGGTCTATACTGGTCCATACTGGTTTATACTGGTTTATACTGATCTATACTGGTCTATACTGGTTTATACTGGTCCATACTGGTTTAGACTGGTCCATACTGGTCCATACTGGTCCATACTGGTCCGTACTGGTTTATACTGGTCCATACTGGTCTATACTGATCCATACTGGTCCATACTGGTCCGTACTGGTTTGTACTGGTCTATACTGGTCTATACTGGTCCATACTGGTTTATACTGGTCCATACTGGTTTGTACTGGTCTATACTGGTTCATACTGGTCTATACTAGTTTGGACTGGTTTATACTGGTCTATACTGGTCCATACTGGTTTATACTGATCTATACTGGTCTGTACTGGTTTATACTGGTCTATACTGGTCCATACTGGTTTATACTGATCTATACTGGTCCATACTGGTCCGTACTGGTCTGTACTGGTGTCACTCACATGGTTTGGGGTGAGAAGAGCCCGGACAGGCTCAGACACTGCGACGCCAAATTCAGGGCGGGGCTCAGGGCTGGGGGAGGGGAGAGAGAGAGAGGGGAGGGGTCAGGGGGATCCCAAATTCCCAAAAATTCCCAAAAATTCCCAAAAATTCCCAAAAATCCCAAAAATTCCCAAAAATTCCCCAAAAATTCCCAAAATTCCCCAAAAATTCCCAAAA